AAAACAAGGAGCGCAAGAAGAAAAATATCTAGTGTGTCTACTTACATGCTTTATCAATTATTTTTCAGTGTGTGTTTTTTTGCTTGACTTTTCAGCTTGTCTTTAATAAAACAACAACTGGCATTTGGTATTAAAGTGATTTTGGTGTTTGATAGTGTGTCAGAGAGTGTCCATAGGCTCATTTTAAATTTTGGATAAAAGCTTGTGAGATTCTGTTTTCAAAGTATGGGCATGGCATCAGTTTTTGTTCTCTCTCTGTCCTAGTCAAGATTATAACTTTCACCACAGTCTTTTTTTTTTCCCTTGGGGCATCTTATTGAATACTGGCATCTTCAGTAATTCATCTGGGCCCAATGCTTTGTCTGTTTTAATACTTCTAATTACCTAATTATGTACAATAATGCAGTGGCAAAGTCCTTTATCATTTTACTTTTTTCTTAACCCTTTTCTTGCTTAGGAAATATTCTTTTTGTCACTGTATTGTCTAAGGAATTCTTCATGACAGACAGCCCAGATATTTGCCTGGCTTTCTTTATTGCCTGTCTGTGTTGTGAATGACCATTGCCCTGGGAATGTTTCCCAGTTAATTCCCAGCAGTCACCTGAGTGCCTGGTTATTGGGACTCTGAAGTTGGTATTTAGTTGACCTCCATCCCTCCTCTCTTCCTAATTTATTCCTACATGACTGCAATCACAAGAGAAGATATCCAGAAGGCAAAGAGAATAGTCCAGTTGTGGTGAATGACCTTTGTGACAGAATCAGTGGCATTGTTTCATCCACGATATTAGAACAAGTATCCATGACAAATGTAACAGAAATCAAGATTTTTCAAAATTCTGTTGATCTGTACTTCAAGATAACTAAAAATTGATTTCAGGTAATAAAAGAAGAGAAAATGATAGAATTATAATTATACTATTTTATAAACTCTAATAAATTAAGTCTGGCTGATGACCATCAATGGTTGCTAGTATCACAAGAGAAATTAGCTAACAATACATGTATCTTGATGGAAGTACATGACACCATCTATCGCATTTGTAAACCATTGTGAAGCTTAAAGTGCAACCATATTTATTTCGTTTAATCAGTCTACAACTTTGGCAAGATTGAGCAGGTTAGTTTGTCTGAGTCCTCCAATTTTTTATCAGTGTTAAAGTGTTAGTCAGTAAGTACCAAAGCCATTTTACCACCTGTGAAGAATTTTGTGAAAAGTTGAACCTGAATCCAAGGAAGTCCTTGGACTTGGCTACAAGCCCATAGGAAATACAGGGAAAGAGGGATGTGTTAAATAACAAAATGGAGAAATACGGAGTAAAATTTAGAATGTGGGATGTTTCTACAGAATAAACACCTTGTTTCTTTAACAAATACTTTGCAAAAAAAAGATTTTAACAATGTGTGGGCATTTCTTGATGTTGATTTGCAGAAACTGAAATTTTTAAAAGAAATTTAAACATTAATAAGATGGTTAACTAAATGAAGGCATCATTAATGATGTTATAATGGTGTTATGGTTATATATTTAAAGAGCCTTCTTAAAGATAGACAAGCAATTTTTAAAGATGTAGTGATGTTTCAGATTCCCTTCAAAATGTGACATTGAGGGATAAATATATATATAACATGCAAAACAAAACTCCCACACCAAACACTTGGTATTATTTTTCAATATGTAAAATTTATATAAATCTAACTTCCTGAGAGAAAAACTGTTGTATTTCAAATATTGATTAATTAAGTTAAAAGCGAAATATCACTTTTCTCCTATCAAGTAAAAACCTTAGGCTGTATTAGTCTAAATTTCATCACAGAAATTTTAATACTACTTTCTCCTTGCTTTTTTATCTCTATCAGAGTTTCACTCTTCACTCTTATCTGTTTACCATCTCCATTTTATTCTCTCACCAAATGTAGAAATTACAACTCTTAGACTTTTATTTTCTGACAGTAACAACATTTGACTTCAGTCCTTATTTAGTGTAATTTTTCCCCTTTTTTTCCCTTTTACTTTCCTATCAGTTATTTTGGCTTGAATGAATCATGAAGTTGAAGTTTTAATTCTTACTTTTTCCCTCGTGTTTATTGAAGGTACCACCAGTTCTCTGTAGAGTCAGTATTGACTTTTCAAATCCTAACAATTGTTGAACCAGCTTAAATTTGTATTCTATGTCAAAAGTGGATTTACCATTGTTGTTCAGAGTAATCTCTCATCATCTTCAAAGATTGGCACTTTAGCTTTGTAGAGAATCATAGATGGTGTGATATGCCATGTCTGAGTAATACTTATTTTCAGTTGATTATTATAACATGTTATTAAGATTATCTGTACCTTAATTCCAGTCAGTCTCTAGTTTTGTTACAAAATGGATGTTGTTTTAAGTACTTTCTCCCATATTGATTCAGATTGCAGTGGCTACACCAAATTTGATTATTATGTGTGCCTCAAAGATTTCCAAAGGGTTGTTAAGGAGGGGGCACAGAGTTATTCAACCATATGATCTGACTCATGAGGCACCAACCCTATTTAAAAATAGGGCTGGGGCCTCCCTAGTGGCACTAGGGTTGAGACACAGCACTATGAAGCTGTCTGAAGCTACTGCAGCTCGAGTTCGATCCTCGGCCAGGGAGATACCCACATGGTGCAGCAGAACTCTCCTGACTTGTCTGCTGCTCCCCTCAGCAGTGTATTTCCATCAGTCTGCTTGTTCTGTTCCCTACTCTGTCTCTGGTGAATCCTCTCACGCCCTCTCACCTCTGGCCTGTACCCCAGTTCTTGTATGCATAAATAAATCTTTAAAAAATATAAAAATAAAAACAGGGCTAGACTTGTTATCCATTGAGGAGGTTGGGGAAACAGCTTCACCTCTCAAAAGGATTTTTCTGTTTGTGCCTTAAAGGCAGTGTTTTCCAAGAAATTTCTCTTGTACCATCTATTAACTGCTTACCTGTCTTTCATCCTGATTATTTTAATCGGGATATTTGACTTTGTGAGGGCTTTAACAACTTCCTTTTGTCCTACATAAATCATTTTAAAGTTTCTTTGTTTTTCTTTCCTACATCAATGCGTTTTCCATCTTTCTCTCTTGACTTCTGCTGTATATTATCCTTGTTCCAAATTCATTTTCAGGTTTATTTTTCTCTTTGCTAGGAGATAAGATCACTAGTTGAATGAACTCCCATTCCTGAGTAGGAACTGTCTAAAGAGTCACCCCATTCAGATTTATGCAGAGATGTCAGATCAATTTGCTCAGATGCTTGAGCTGTATTTTACCAGTTCCTAAGAGACTGCCCTACTGCTACTGGAAAGGCTGAATATCTGTGTGTGGGGACAATTGCACAGCAAAGAAAATTTCAAGTGAAAGTAAATGGAGATGTAGATTAAATATATGCTAATGTATTTTAAGATTTAGGACCAGAAAGGAGATGTTTCCCAAACTGCATAGTTCACCCAAGATCCCAGTCTGGAATGGAGGGAAAGTTATAACTCTCAGAGGAAGCCAGGATAGGAATAGGAACAGGATGAAAACAGCTGACATCTATAGAAGGAATAGACCCTAAACCACTATAATATGAAGTAAAACAACCATTTCTGCTCTTTAAAAGACTCATTAAGGAGTATTTTTGTGTTTCCATAATGTCCAGTGCCTCCATGTTTTAGCTACTCTTCCTCTTCAATCTCACATATCCTCTTATTTTCTAGTTTTAAAGTCACCTCATTTGCATCTTCATCACCTAAAGTATCAATACTCAAAAACTAATAATGACCTCTATTCCTGAACATCTACTACTTGCCAGGCACTGTTCTTGGTGGTTTCACATTATCTCATCTTGAGCACAAGATCAGTATTATTATCCCTACTTAATAGATGAGGCACTTAAGCAACCATTTACTGAAGGTTACATAGCTAGCAATTATGCAACATGAACTTGAACACAGGCTTTTCTTTCCAGATTTGTGATTTTTCCATTTCACTTCATTATCTCCTTCCTGTAATCTCTCTTCTTTCAGGCTATTCACATTTAGAGTTACTCAAATACTATTTTCTTTGTTACTTCCCTCTTAAAAATGTAGTTACTGCGTTACTGTTCCTCAGTTGTAAATTCAGCTCTTTCCAGCTTTATCCCATCCTTTTTTCTGTTCATTCCCGAATGGCAGTATTATAGAATTACTTTACTTTTTGACAGCTAATCAATATACTATGCTGTACATTTAGGATACTCATTATCTTCTATGCCTGTGTATCTTTCCATTGGTGTTCTATGTTCTTCCTCTCTTATTTGTGATTAGACCCATTTGACTGCTGACTTCTAGTAGACTTTCTTTCATTCCATATGTATTCATTGTGTATTATATTTGTGTTTCATCTTTGGGTCCTTGCAGTTCTATATATCTGCATGATAAACACCTATGTAAGCACCTTTCAAGTGGATACCATGCCCTTTTCCTCTATCATTACTACTTCAAGGCACCTGGTAGAATTCTGATCCAGAGAGCATTTAAGTAATACTAACTTGTTCTACTTGAAGCCTTCATTTTAACCAGATAAAGTTGAAAGGATGGTCATAAAATTTAAATCCTGATATTTACATTAAAAAAAAAAAGATGATAGTAATTTTCAAAAAGTTGTTACTTACAAAATTACATTCTAGTTCTAAAAACCGAACAGGATAAAGCAAAGCAGCCCCCCCCCCAACCAAGTATGTAGACTATAATTGATTTTGCATCAAAACTGTTGTATTCACTGTGTGATGACTTTATGTGAGGACACTTGAAATATTTAATATGTTGAACGGCATCATTTCTCTCTGTGATATAGTTTCCCTTTTCTTGCCCATTTTTCCAAAAATATACCAGCCTCATCAATGGCATAAGTTGCATGGCAGATATAGATTTGCCCTAAAACTCACAGTAGCCTTTGGCATCTCTCAAGAGATGAGGGTTGGAAGGTAATACTTAGAATTGTGTTAGTTTCAATCCTGTGTTTTCTTTTTTTCAGGTTTCCTGAAATGCAGTTTTTCCAACAAGAAAATGTGAGAAAAATTCTTACAGATGTTCTTTTCTGTTATGCTAGAGAAAACGAGCAGTTGCTTTATAAACAGGTAATGAAAATATCGTACAGGTGGCATCCATTGACTCAAAATTTTCTATACAGCTTGACAAATGATAGAGCAATAATGTAGCCTTTATTGTATCCAAAGTTGTATCATAATAGTAAAGCAATCAAAGAGCTGCTTGTCAGCTGCATGGTGAGAAAAGTAAGCTCATTGAAGCACATATGCTTCTTCCTTATTATAAGACATTCCACCAAATTGTCTTCTAGAAGGCGTTCAATCTTTTCTTTCAACTTTGGGAGTTTGTTTATAAACAGCATCTTTGAAGCCAATCTAGTAATAAAACTTTTCAGGTTGTATGTATAAATATTGTTTCCAGGCACAACATTTATAAATATGTGACATGCCATGGAGAAAATCATCCAGTACCCCTTTATTCTTTAAAATTTACTAGTGACATAACTTTTGAATTTCCATTAATTTTTTTTGTGATTTATATCTAGTTTCTCTTGATTCTGTTATTTGATTCATCCTATTACTAAAGCAAAGAAGACTGTTGAAATGTAACTTATTTATTAATATGTACAGAAGCATCACAATTTCTACTTAGGCTCTTTGTGTTTCGATGAAAGTACACACAGTTGCATAGTTTTCTGTATTTTCTCCAAATGTATATTAAGTGGGAAATCAAACTAAATTAGTAAATTTCCTGTCAAAACTTATGACATATATCCATTAGATGACCACCTAATTGATTATAACAGCAAATTATCTTTATAGGAGAGTTTATCTGATTTGAAATAAACTTGATCAGTTTAAAGATAATAAACTAGGGCCTCCCCTGTGGCGCAGCGGTTGAGTGCTGGGTTGCGAAGCTGCCTGCAGCCTCTGCAGCGTCGGGTCAATCCCCGGCTACCAGGCGAGGGTCCCACATGGCGCGCAGACCTCTCCTGCCGCCTGCTGCTCCCCTCAGCAGTGTATTTCGTCAGTCTGCCTGTTCTGTTCCCCGCTCTGGCTCTGGTGAATTCTCTTACCCTCCCGTGCTTCTGACTGTACCCAGTGCTTGTATAAATAAATAAAAAAATAAATCTAAGAAGGGAATGGAGGCATCACACTCCCAGACTTCAAACTATACTACAAAGCCATAATCATCAAAACTGCATGGTATTGGAACAAGAACAGACATACAGACCAATGGAATCGAATAGAAAATCCAGAAATAAACCCACAGATTTATGGTCAAGTAATCTTTGACAAAGGAGCAAAGACTATGCATTGGAGCAAAGAAAGTTTGTTCAATAAATGGTGCTGGGAAAACTGGGTCGCTACATGCAAAAGAATGAAGCTTGACCACTACCTCACACCATACACAAAAATCAACTCAAAATGGATTAAAGAACTAGACATAAGACCTGAAACCATAAAATATATAGAAGGAAATATAGGCGAAACACTACGTGATTTGCACATCAAAGACATCTTTACAGACACATCACCCAAAGCAGTGATAGTGAAGGCGAAGATAAACAGCTGGGACTACATCAAATTAAAGAGCTTCTGCACAGCAAAAGAGACAATAACCAAAACAAAGAGAAACCCCACCAACTGGGAGAACATTTTTGCACCCAACACTAATGATAAAGGACTGATCACAAAAATCTGCAAAGAGCTGATGAGACTCAACAACAACAAAGAAAATAACCCAGTCAAAAAATGGGCAGAAGAGCTAAAAAGAAACTTCTCTGAAGAGGAAATGCAAATGGCCAACAGGCATATGAAAAAATGTTCAACATCACTTGTCATCAGGGAAATGCAAATCAAAACTACCATGAGATACCATCTTACACCAGTGAGAATGGCACATATTAAAAAAACTAGCAACAACAAATGTTGGCGAGGGTGTGGAGAAAAAGGAACTCTCCTGCACTGTTGGTGGGAGTGCAAACTGGTCCAACCACTGTGGAAAGCTGTGTGGAGATTTCTGGACCTACTAAACATAGAGCTTCCATATGATCCAGCAATTCCACTCCTAGGTATTTACCCAAAGGACACAGAAACATCAATTCCAAAGAACACCTGCACCCCTATGTTTATAGCAGCACTGTTTACAATAGCTAAGCTTTGGAAACAACCCAAATGCCCAAAAATAGATGACTGGATCAAGAAGATGTGGTACATATATACCATGGAATATTACTCAGCATTCAAAAAAGATAAACACATGCAATTTGCAGCAACATGGATGGCGCTGGAAGGGATCATGCTCAGCGAAATAAGCCAAAAAGAAAAAGAAAAATACCGGATGGTCTCACTCATAGCAGGAATCTAGAAAACTTAAATAAGGGACCAGGAAAATGAATAACTATAAGAAAGTGAAAATCAAAATCAACAAAAAACTATGAACCAGAGATACTTTTAGGGGGGCAGGGGCGGGAGGGGAGGGATTGGGGTCAGAATGGGGGCGCTGCAATTGTATGGGGAATATAACAATAAAATTTATTATCTAAAAAAAAAAATAAATCTAATAAAATAAAGATAATAAACTAAGTTCTTAGTTTCACTGTGTATAAGATGAGGTTGGTCATCCGTAAGATGTTTGTAGTTGTGGTTATTATCATCATTGCCACAGAACTTATTAGAAGGAGAGAATGGTAAAGGGACATATGAGAACTTCCATCAAGGTGTTGTGGTCAAACCAATGTGATGGTAATAAAGGAATCAGCCAGGAGATTGGTAGAACAAACTAAGAACAGGGCCAAGTATATATAAAAACTAAAATTATATGAAAATACTAGGAAAAAAGGTAAGACTCTTTTTCAATAATCTCAGGATAGGAAAACCCTTTCCAAGAAAGTATCCAGAGGTCAGATTAAAAGTCCAAACACCAAAACACAAACTAACCAACCAAAAAGGGGAATGGAAGAAAATAAAGCTCTGTTAGCATGGAATCTGGGGGAAGCAAATAACAAAAAAATTCTCTCAAAATGTTTAAACTCTGAAGGATTTTATTAACACATTTTTCAAGAAGTCTTGGGGCAAAATGGTGCCACAGTATTAATTACTCCAGCAGCTCAGTCTTCAGCAATGACCCAGGTTGATTTGTATTTTTCTCTTCTGCATGTATTGACTTTTGCTATCAAGCCTGTCTTCTCATTGTCCCAAGTATTTGAAAATATCTCACTGGGCCTCCCTGGTGGTGCAAGGGTTAAGTTAAGCAGTGCACTATGAAGCAATCCGCAGCCTCTGCAGGGAGAGTGTTTGACCCCCAGACGGCCAGGGAGCTACCCACATGGTGCAGCAGACCTCTCCTGCCTCACCTGCTGCTCCCCTCAGCAGTGTATTTCGGTCCGTCTGCCTGTTCTGCTCCCCACTCTGTCTCTGGTGAATCCTCTCACACTCACGCACATCTGGCCTGTACCCCAGTTCTTGTATGCATAAATAAATAAATCTTTCAAAATAATGAAAGTATCTCACAGTGAAAGATTTAATGATAGCTAATTAAGTCAGAATAAAATTATCCTTTTTTTTTTTTTTTGTATTCTTTAGAGAAAGTAAATACTAGATTAAGGACCTCTGCTGTATTAATGGAAACAAGTTCCACAGATAAGGAACCAAAACAATTTGCAATCTACAAATCACAGCAGAACATTCCTTGCCTACCTACGCAGTATAGCTCGTATGGCGACACAGGCCCGGGAATGCCTAGGCCGCTGTTGACCTGATTACGTGACTATCTCCATGGCAGTCTCGGGATCGCTCTGCCTGAGACATCATACTTTGCAGACGCAAATGTCTCTTGACACATGGTCGCGATGTACCCTTCCCTCTCCCTTGTAAAACTTTGCCCCCTATTCCTCTCCTACCCTCCGGACCCTATTCCTCATACCATTGTTGCACGATCAGCTTTTCTAGCCTGTATGTTTCAATAAATGGCACAAGAACTTCTGCTCAAGTAGCAGAGTCTTGCCTTGCAAACCTGTTCCAAGGCTGTTGTGGCCCTCATCCCATTCTCACTGCCAAGTGGCAACAAAGTTCCTGTTGCAACATCTTTAAAGACAGGAAATACTGGATTAAAGACATACTGTATTAATGGAAACAAGTTCCACAGACAAGGAACCAAAACAATAACCATATATACCTTCATTTGTGCTGTTTGGCCCCTGTACTTGTAAGGAAGACTAGGCCTGAGTAGGGAAGAGCAGATTCTTGATAATTTAGACAGAGCCTGTCAATTACTGAATAAAAAGTATTACTAACTTACTCCTGGGTATCACTTACTAAGACTTAATTACTCCCTGTACATGTTTAAAAATCCTATAGATTCTTTATATAGAAGTAATACCTTGCTGTAGAATGACTGAATATTTAGCCAGATCAAATTTAAGAAAAAACCTTGAGTTTCATCACAAGCTGTTAAAGCTATTATTTTGTGCTAGGTGACACCCCGTTTAACATCGACCATATTGTTAATAGTTATGGGATTTTATTGAATTAATGAGACTGTTATCATGTAGTAGAATGTCTTGCTGAGTTAATTGAAACTGCAGAGATTATATAAATGGTATTAATGAACTTTGACTGCCTGATGTCTCAGCTTTAATAAAGACTGCTTGGTGGGCTAAATGAGCACAGGCAGATAAAAGAACAGGTTCAATTTCGTGAGCCTACAGGCTGTTGATGAAGAAAACTTTGTTACCTTTATTTTCAACTGGCATGAGTTTGGAGCAGAGTGACTACTAAACAGTACAGCGGGGATAAAGGCTTTAAGCAAATGGAGGTGCTGGCACTTGTAAATGGGAGCAAAACACACATTTTAGGGACCTAGAAGTATACTGACATTACATTATGTTTTAATAATGCTGTGTCAAATTTACAGCAGGCTGAATTTATGATGATTCTTTCTAGATAGTCCTCATTTCCTTTAATGATGTCTACATATTTGCCACTTATAATTATTAATTGTTTTTCCTAAGCTAGAATTGAAAGTAAAACAATAGTCTCTTACAAACCTGCTTGAGAAAATATTTATTGATAGTTTAGTTGCAAATAAACATTGAATTAGTGAAAGATTTTCTTGGTATCTGGAGAACTCTTAATTTCCAATATCCAAACCAACACATTTATTGATGTGAAATTTGAAATACAAATTAGTGTTATCTATTTCATATTATAGTTCAGCTTTTACCCATGCATTTCTGTATGTCTCAGGAAGATTATTTCACTCAATAAATATCTGTACCACATTGCCTCCACCGCCTGAGCTCCAGTACCATTTACTGCTAAATGGTACAAATATCTGTACCACATTGCCTCCACCGCCTGAGCTCCAGTACCATTTACTGCTAAATGGTACAAGACCCCCTCTACCTCTTCCAGCCCACTTCTTCCCTGCTAGTAATGGCCACCTCCCAGTGATTGAAAGCACACTTGGCAACATTTAATTCCATTCTTTCTGGCTCTTTTCCATGATTTTCTACAGGATATCCTTTTCAAGGTTTAGATAGTAAGCAGATATTTACCTAAAAAAGATCACGGTGATATGTGAAAGTTTGTCCTACATCTTTAATTTTTATTGGATCATATATTCCTTTGTAAAAATGTCATTAATTTCTTTGGATTCTAGGCTAGTTATAACTTACAAAGTGTATTGTCATGTTACTCTATGACATCATCTGGCATCCTAAGAATACCACGTAATACTGGATGCACAGGGCTACGTATCTGTCCTGGAACAGGAAGTCTTCTCTCATTCCACCAGCAAAAATTCTCTTTGCTTTCCTATTTTTTTTTTTATTTCTGTAAAGATACTATTTTGTCTTGTCTTTTTATGAAAGATCACCTGAAATTATTAAGTAAAATGAAAATGGTAATTTTCTCAGTTGAAGAAGCAGAAGTGTATAATCTATTTTTAACTTGCTCAAATATGTTTTTTGATGCTTAAGAGGTAAAGAATCTCTAACAAGGCAAGGCTCTGACATGGAATGCCTTATTTCCCCCACCATAATAAATAATGGATTTTATAATAACCTTTAAAGACAGCTTAGTGATTGATTTTGTACCTTTTTGCTTCTGTGCCTAAATCTGTAAACCAGTAGGTGAACACCAGTAGTGGTGGGGGGGAGGGGAAGAGGAGTGGTCTCATATTGGTGAAATAACTTAAAAGTAACCATTTTTTAGTGTGGTAGTCCTCTGATTATATATGATAAAAATCATAGTCTAAAATCTTTGTTTTCTGTCATACCTGATAAAGGTTTCTTTTATTATCCAACATTTTCAGCTAGCTTACTTCAGCTCTTCCTAAATCTACAGACATCCTAATTTTGAGCCATTATATAATGAAAACATTGGATGTAATTTCCTTAGGTCTACAGTTCTTAGTTGCCCTTCTTACTGCAGATTTTTGCACTGTAGCTCATGATTATAATTTGCATAAATGAAATTCATATTTATGAGTGCAGAACTTGAAGCAACTGACAGGTGCAAGGTTGTCTACCATGCCAATTTATTGTTTGTTGTGTCATTTAAGAGAGAACTGCTCTCCATGTTTTAAGGAAGAGTATGTGCTATGGTTGAACTGGAATCAAGTTTTAAAAGCACATAAAATCTCTTTTTGTAGCTTTTGATTTTTTTGGGCTTTTCTGTATACTATGGAAATATCGATAGCAGGAGTCAGTAGAAGGATTTAACTGAACTTACACTGTCTACCAGCAGTCTCTCAACATCCACCCTTTCCATTTCTCTCCCTTATGTTTCAGGGCATGCATGAGCTCTTGGCACCTCTCATCTTCATCCTCCACTGTGACCACCAGGCTTTTCTTCATGCCAGTGAGTCTGCACAACCCAGGCAAGTTTTATATGAGCTCCCAACTATTTTTCAGCCCTGCTGTACTCTTTTTCACCTCAAAATCTTTTAAATCTAAGGTTCTGTTATAAATTGTAAACATTTTTTGTTTACATTTGTAATCATAAGTTGTTTTTTATGGCTGATTGTTAATTCCACTTAAGAGTTCTAATCCCAGTTCAACTGTGGGGCAAAACTTTGGAACATAAATATCTTTGCAAATCTGTACCATATATCTAAATGAAGGTATATAAAGAAGGATCAAGAAGGGGAAGCTTTTGTTGTAATGGCAAAAAGCTAGTGATTGATAATATCCATAGATACTATCCTCTAATGACTCCATTCCTTGCCTCTAAGCCATGTGAGAACCTCATCTGTGATATACATTGTCCTCAACAGGTTTGACTCAGTTCCCTTAACAAATTAGATTTCAATGCCACGAAGAACTCCAATCTACAAATAAATAAGACTTCTTCATGTTTTTCAAATACCTTAATGTGTTCTTTCTACTAGCAAAATAACTTTAGTAATTGTGTATTCAATTTAGGCTGGCTGTTAGAATTTATTCTCTTAAGATAGCCCTAGACAGCTGAGGAGTCTTTTGGGGATGGAGAGCTGCAGGATTATCAGACTTTGTCAGGAGTACTCACAGACTACTAGCTCATCTTCATGCAAAAAATAAAAAACTAATGTGACATTTCATGTGTTTTTATAGACATTATTGGTCAAACCTGGCCATCCATTTTGCTGAATATATAATTAAAGTTTCTGTTAAATTAACTTTCGTTTGCTATGTTACAGCTTAGAATGTTCCAGTTATTTTGTTTTTAAAATTTTGAGTTCATTTGATCTAACTATAGTAACCATATCTTAATTGCCTTTACTTCAGCTATTCTAAAGTATGGTAAGGAATGAGTTACTATTGGGATCCTGTTTTTAATCCAGTTTCATCCTTTAGAAATGTGTGTACAGTATACTTCAAATGAGTTGGAATTGTCACTTTGGCTATTTCAGTCCTTTAAAAGGAAAAGTAATGGTAACATACTAAAATAGATTGTGAGAGCCACTCTCTCTGATCAGTTGATGTTACAATGTTATTTGTAAAAAAGCCATTTAAAGAAAATAATGTTTTGATATTGTGTATTTGACCAGTAACTTTATTTGTTGCTTTCTTTTTGACAAGTGATACTTTGTGGACTAATGAATTCTAGATCAGGCACAAAGAATATATTGTCACATTCTGCATTTGATTTTTGGAATAATTAGGTAGTTACCTTACTGTGGTATAGACAAGGCAGCTAATTTGTTTTTAATTCGTAGAGAAAGAAGAGATTGAAAAAAAGGATTTCATTTGTTAAGAGTTGCCCTTTTTATTTTAAAAACTAATTTTTAAAAAACTAATTTTTGTCATTTGCACATTATATGAGAATTTACTTATGAGTATAGAATAATGCAACAACTGCATCTACTTCAATTAAAATGTTACATTTTGATTGCTTGTATTCTTTTTTTAAGTGAGGAAATGAAAGCTCTCTTGAATCCTGAGTATCTGGAACATGATGCCTAGTAAGTACAGAAACACTTTTTTATTTTATTTTATACCCTCTTTAATGAAGTTTGACATTAACATTTTATTATTTTTTTAATTTTTAGTGCAATGTTCTCACAACTTATGGAAACTGCTGAGCCTTGGTTTTCTACTTTTGAGCATGATGGTCAAAAGGTAAAGCTTATAGTATGGATCTTAACGTATTTGAAGAAACAAATGGTTTCAGTAACAACATATAATCAGAGAATAAAAGCCATTATTATTGCTTAGGGGAAAAGACTAAAAGTACTTATACAGTAAGATTGAACTGATGCTAAACCATCTCTCTAATATATTGGTTGATATACAAAAGTAACAGAACAATGTTTTTAAAAACAACTTTTATGTGTATATATTATCTATAAAATACAATTTTTTAAATAATTATTACGAATAAGTGCATTTCTCTCCTTGCTCTGTCACCACCCCAGTGAGCTGACGGGAAGATTGTTGCTGACATTTTACTGACATAGAGATCAACTCTATATCAAATCGCTTGTTTTATTAATGAGTCATTACTGAATTTAGGTACTTCGTATCTCTATCTTTTAAACCTTACTCTCTCATCCTCATTTTTAACAATTTTTATTTTTATATAATTAAACTATCATAAAACTTACCTGTTAATGTGTATAATTCCGTGCATTTTGTATAGTCAAGTGCTTTAGTGTATATCAGTATGGAAATATTGATAGCAGGGATCAGCAGAGGTGTTTCTTTGAACTAATTCTAAAACGTAGTATCAGCCCAAAAGGAAGTCCTATACTCGTTAACAGTCACTTCCCTTTCCCCCCATCCCAGAGTCTCTGGTATCACTAATCTACTACCTGTGTCTGTGGGCTTGCCTTTTGTGGCATTTCATAAAGTGAACTATGTGACCTTTGTGACTGACTTATTTATCACTGATTTCAGTCTTCATTCAGTCTTCAGTGTAGCATGCATGAGTCCTTCATGTTTTTCATAGCTAAATAAAATTCATGTATGGATATACCACGTTTTAGTTATCCATGCATCAGTTGATGGGCATTTGGGTTCTTTTCACTTTTTGGCCTATTAAAAATAATGTTGCTTATAAACATTTTCATACAAACTTTTGTGTGACCATGTTTCTTTATGTATCTCTGGGAGTGGAATTGCTGGATTAACTGTTATTTTAAACATTTAAACATTTCGTGGCATTACTTTATGAGTACCATGACCTGTATAAGGGTCAGCACATGAGTCATAGGTGTGTAAAATAGTTATTGGTCCTTATTTAAATTATCATTGATAAATGTGTTTGAAAATGATGGCCATGTATTGAAATAATGCATGTTCCGTTTTTCCCATTTTCAGGGGAAAGAAACACTGATGCCCCCCATCCCCTTTGCTAGACCACAGGATTTAGGGCCAACAATTGCTATTGTTACTAAAGTCAACCAGATCCAGGATCATCTTCTGAAAAAGCATGATATTGAGCTTTATATGCATTTGAACAGACTAGAAATCGCACCACAGATATATGGATTGTAAGTATTAAAAGTTTAAATTTCAGCTGTGTATAATTATAATGTATAGTGGTTTCTATATGTCTCAAATACCTAGACGGTAGAGCAAGAACTGCCTTAGCTTCATTTTGTTTTCCATTTCTCTTTTGTGTCCTGCATGCCAGGCTGTTGCTCATTGCTTTCACATATCATTTTTTATCTAATGCTCTCATCAGCCCTTCTAATTGGGTGCTATCCCTTTGTTACAGATGAAGAAACTAAGGTAAGTGTGTACATATCTAAACGTGAAGTCATAATTCAGTTCCAGGCAGAACCACCTCCATGATATGCCAAGCCCAGTACAAAGTAAAAGTGAACTGCCCTTCAAAAAATTAGTAAGGATATCAAAATGACACCACCAGATTATTAAACCAAGCATCCTAACACTTTATTGTTTACAAAAATATGCTAAATAGAATTGGAAATCAGTATGGTAAAAATGTCAGCAGTGAGTGTGCCAATGGAAAAATGGTCTCAGTACCAACAATTTGTGTAGAATGGGGCGTAAATCACAAATACATGTTTACATGTTGGGGAAAGTATTAGCAAAACACAATCAAACCAATCTTGAGTCCAGGTTTTCAATTTTAGTCCATTTTGAGCAGTTGCATGTACATTAAAATTTATATAAATCTCCTTTCTGATATGTTTGTAATTAAGAAAAATTTTTGAAATTGATCTGTTTTAGAATTCTTTTTATTCCTGCTTTTTAAAGAGAATTTATGTAGAAAACTCATGATGTGGCAGATGTGACATATTTGAACATATTTGTGTATTTTGCTAATAAATTCATTTAAAATTAGAATTGATTAACCTAACAGTATTAATTGCATTAACATTGGCTAAAGGCATTCAAATTAATGTATCTTAATTTTAAATAGATTGATATTTCTCTTGAAACATGGGACTAAATATCCATGAAATCTTCAACATTATATAAAAAACTTACTTATTATTTTCTATTATTTTATGCATTTAAGTGCATTCTCCTTAGATAATTGTAGCAGGTTTTTCTGTTGGGAAATGTTAAACCAACTTGTTTAGGTTAAACAAAGTTAACTTGCAATTATATGCTCAATACTTTGTAAATGAAATTACAATTTATTTCCTAAAAATAGGCTACTTTGTGTTTTTCATTAACTTTATGGAAAATTACTCCTGTTGCACTTAGAATGAAGTTTTTCTCGCTTTAATTCAAATAATTAATGTCTTGAGTTGTCTTTTGTTTGCCTATTTTTGATGAGTATAAGACTTTTTTTTTAAAGATTTATTTATTTATTTATACAAGCACTGGGTACAGTCAGAAGCGTGGGAGGGTAAGAGAATTCACCAGAGCCAGAGAGGAGAGTAGAACAGGCAGACTGACAAAGTACACTGCTGAGGGGAGCAGCGGGCGGCAGGAGAGGTCTGCGCGCCATGTGGGACCCTCGCCCGGCGGCCGGGGATCGAACCTGCACTGCAAAGGCTGTGGGCAGCGTTGCAGCCCAGCGCTCAACCGCTGCACCACCAGGGGAGGCCCTATAAGACTTTTTAAAAATCAAGTTCTGTAGGGTCTATCAATGCATGCTGACTAATTTCCAAAGCAAGATTAAATTATTTCCAACTTTTCAAGGGGTTTTCCTGATAACTTTAAGTATGAGAATAAGGATATACTGTGATCTCATCACTCAGAGGGTATTTTTATGCAGAAGCCTCGAAAATATTTGTGTTAAGATTCCTTACCCAAATAAATCTTTTTGTGAGTCCAGGAGATCCTTAATCACAGCCGATTCAAATATAAAGATTCAATGCTGGTTTACTTAATACTGTAATACTAGTCTGTAAAATTTGAAGTTTAAAAGTAATTTTTGCTAGGCCAGAGTAACTGTGTTTTTACCCTTAGATATATTGAATCTGTATTTCTGTCTACATTTTAAACTTTGATATAAATAGAACACATAATAAGCATCAGTGGGATGTGCAATTAGTGTCACTTTTGGGGAAAGACCCTCATAACACACTTGGACTTTGACATTCTAAAATTATGAGCTTTTTACAACACTCATGGGGTAAATTCCATATCTCCCAAATGTTTTTTAACACATTTTCCATTTCCCTTATTTCCTATATTTTGAATTAACCATGGTTGTGCTGTGGTGAATTTATAGTAATTAATTTGGAGGGATTCTTGGTTTTTGATAAATAATCTGTTAAATTTCACGATATGATTTTAGTTTTTAGTTGAGGTTATATTTAGATCTTCTACCAGATATTGACACCTTAATGCACCTCCCACCAAATCACCCATAGTCCCTTGGGTTGTTCTACCTTCCCTCATACCCTTCCCCTTCTGGAAACAGTTCTGTAGTCAGCTTTCAAGGGTTAGTTTTCAAGCTTGTCTTTCTCTGACTCGTAGTTTAGTTACTCCATACTCCACATGTTAGTGACACCTTCCAGTATTTAGCTTTCTCTTTCTGACGTATTTCCTTAGCAGTGTATTCTAAAACATATCAAAGTATAATTATGTATAACTAAGTTCTTTTTAAATTTGTATCTGGTAGATATTTTGTTAAAAAATATAACTTGTAGTATAATTATCCTAAAATTACCCTCTCAACAGTTAAACAGCTTCCTATTCTAAACACAGTTAGTAATTGAAATATTTTTTTCTATAACCTCCATATTACTCATTAAACATAAAAAAAATGATGGATTAGAGGGTGAAAAACAATTATACCTGGTTATCATATATGTCTGTGTATTTCCTGAAATACTGTCTTTTTCCTATGGGCTAGGTATTGTGTTAAATATTACAGCACATTGGGAATAGATGCTGTTATTATTCCCCCTTTGTAGATGAAATGAAAACTTAGAAAGACTTATTTAGATTGACTAACTATCAAGAAGCTGACCTGGCCTTTGAGCTCTTCAGCCTACATCACATTCTAATGCAACTAAGACTGAATGTGGTAAAAAACTCAGCCATCCAAAAGATATTACATACAGGTCACTGAGAGCAGGCAGTTAGCACTGGAATCAAAGGAGTTACATTACTAGTGGTCAGAAACCAGCCCAGTAAGAAGAAAATGGAATATGAAAGAGCACGTAAGAGTCTAAGACCCACAACCATGCCAGAAATAAGGATAGAAAGAGCTGTGATCTTCCACAGAAGAGTGTACCAGCACCAGAAGTACAGCTAAAATAATAAGCCACAGTATAAGGCTTACATCATCTTGTGCAAGTCCTGGCCTTAATTTATTTAGTTCAGCCTATTAAAGGAAATATAAGGAAGCTGGGGTAACTGGTGGGCAGGATCTGGTGCTTTGATCTTAAACTAAACCTAGATAAAGAGTTAATTGGTAAAATAGAAGAAGCAGTGTATACTGACAATAAATGTAAATTTCAAGATAGACGCAAGTTCAGGAGGAACCATGGTGCCCAGTCACAAATGCACAGTTTAGGAAAAGTACAACCCACATATCTCCTATGTAAAAATATACTCTTCTCATTGAAAGGGGAATAAAAAATAGTAATTCAAGCAAGGAGAAAGCAGGTTTTTAAAGGATTACTAAAAAGCAATGTAACTAGTAAGATATGGTTAATATCTTAACTAGTAAGATACGGTTTGCGTCTAAATGCAATTGTCAAAAGTAATCATCTGAAAAGCAGTAAGAGTAATTTAAAATATTATTTCAGTCTTAGACCTGTCTAATTCTAATGAATAATTCAAAGTGGAGAAGAATAGAAAAGTTTACGTAATTCATTAACACACACAGAGGAAATCAAATATACTCTTTTTTAGTGATATATCTAATCACTAAAGAATTTTTTGTTTTATACATTCCTATAAAGTAGTGCCCATGCAATAAGATTAAACTTTTTAAAATAATGTAGAGAACAGTACTTAACATATTGTAAATACTCAATAAAATGTTCATTGTTAGTAAGTTTCATGTGGTAGTTACCACTCTCAGACTCATCATTGTGGTTTATATGTTTGAGAGAGGCAAGACTGGAAACACAGATCCAGTTAAGAAGGCTTTGTCATTGATAATAGCAATTGGAGGAACCACAGTTGAAAGAACTGTGTTGGATAAAATCTATGATTTGGTAATAACACAAAACGCTGCATTTTGCATGGGAGAGTGGGAGACTCTGTGGATTGTATCCACTACACATTCAAAGTATCTAACACATCACCCTTTTGGAATTTAATTTTATTTATGTTCTCAGGCAATGTGCCCAGTCCACAAACCAGCAGATTTGATCACCTCATCACTATTCTCCCTTGCCAGCAGCTTGATCCTCACCTAATTTTCTGCCCTTCAAATGATACCTCTTTTCACCCCTCTCTTTCTGGATACTCTGAAGTTGATTATTTCTCTTTTGTGATATTGAGCCATCAGGTGTTATATCTGCAATATTTTAACCTCTTCTTTGGTTTCTTCTCTGAGAAAAAATAAAAACAATACAACAACCAAAAAAACCCACCTATGGTCCTCCTGCCCCCCACCAGTCCTATTTCTCTTTTTTTCCAAACTTATAGAAATAATAGTGCTCTCTGATTTCCATTTTCCATTGGCTCACCATCTCTTGCAGTTGGTATAAGTACTCTAAATACACCAGTTAAGACAGGTTAAGAGGCGCAGAAACAAGACTCAACTGTATATTGTCTATAAGAAACTCACTCCATTATAACGCTAAGTGTAGATTTAAAGGTTGGTAAAGATATGCCATGCAAAATTTAATCAAAAGAAAGCAGGAGTCGCTATGTTGTTCTTAAATAGACTATACAGCACAGAGAATTATGAGACAATAAAGGACATTATGTAATAAGAGTCAATTCACTAAAAGTCCAGGAAAACCTAGAAGTGTGTGCACTAAACAACAGAGCTGTTAAGTATGTGAACCAGAAACTGATACAACTGAAAAGAAAAATAGGCAAATCTACAGTTATGGCTAAAGACTATCAATAATAGTTGATAGAACCACTGGACAGAAAA